GTAAACTCTACCCACAATGTGGGGCTTAAACTCATGACCCTGAAACTAAGAGTTGCATGCTCTACTGACTGAGCCAGCCTGGGCATAAACTATTCTTTACGATACTGTAACAGTGGAAACATGACACTACATGTTTGTCAAACCCATAGAATTTTACAGCACAAAAAGTGAACCTTAATGTATATGCATTAAAGAAGAATCACTTAGGAGGTGAGGGGATTCCAGGATGGAATGCAGACTAACAAAACAATCTAACTGTATTACAAATATACGAAACACCTGTACTTGAAGGGGTTGGGGGGAAAGGTGCTGACCTAAGTAACTCTGGGAACAGGTGGAGTCTGTAAGACTAATGGCCATTAAACTACACATAAGCACTGTATTCTGGCTGATAAAGTTGTTTCCCACAGGAGCACACGTTCACAATTCTAATAACACTATACATGTATATTGCAATTGAACGATGAAGTAAATGGATGGCAGATGGTGGGAGCCAGCTTTCTTGGCTGAAGTGAGAAGTTACAGGTAAGCAAAGGGAGGTCTAGAAGGAGCCATGTGGTAATAAATCAGAGTTGGAGACATCAATATGAATCCATGTTTTGTTCCATAAAGATTCAGATGGTTACATATAGAAATATTTATAAATATGTGTATATACCCAGGTTAGTATACACACATATATCTTGCTCTATCAGCTGACAGGGCATAAAATCAACAGCCCCTCAGTAGCAATAAGCATGTATAGCACCCAGAGCTTGGTTTTCAATTCCTTTCTCCAATAAAAGGAACCAGGACTACTTGGAGAAATGGGTGATTCTAGGACTGGGGCAAGAAATATACAAGGTGATCCTGGAGCTTCATACAGTGCCAGAAAGTAAAAAAGTGCTCAAGAAAGAAACAAACACAACACCAAAACCCACACTGATAGAGGTATAACATAGGGACACAGAAGCCAACTGAAAGAGTTCCCGATGGCCAAAGTTGGAACAAGTTGAGAAATGAAATAACAAATTAGTGTTGGATTATAACCTGAAGTATGAAATAATTACACATAAGTTTCTACAATATAAGTAAATGATTTAACAAATAAATAAATGAAGAGACAAATGTTCCATGAAGAAAAATTCCAAATAACTTGTGTAGATACTCCACTCTCAATGAGGGAATGCTTAACTCTCCACTCCTTAAGCATGGGTGGTGCATAGTGGCTTCCTTCCAAAGAGTACCGTATGGAAAGAGGAAAAAAGAGTCACTTTACAGTGGAGAAATCCGACAAACACTGCTTCAGCCATGTGATCAAGGTAAACACCAGTCGTGATAAGTCATGTTGACAGTATGTGTCCTTTTTTTTTTTTTAAAGATTTTATTTATTTATTTATTTGCCAGAGAGAGAGAGAGTGAGCGCACAAGCAGGGGGAGCGGCAGGCAGAGGGAGAAGCAGGCTTCCCGCTGAGCAAGGAGCTGATGCAGGACTCGATCCCAGGACCCTGGGGTCATGACCTGAGCTGAAGGCAGACGCTTAACCAACTGAGCCACCCAGGCATCCCAGACAGTATGTATCCTTGATATGATGCAAGGAAACAGTACTTTACTTCTGTGGTTTTCCTTCTAAGAACCCATAACCACAGTATAATTGTGAGAACAACATAAAACAAATTCCAATTGAGACATTTTACAAAATACAGGATCAACGGTCCTCAAAACTTTCCGGGTTGTCAAAAACAAGGAAATCTGAGAAACTGTCAAACTAAAAGTAACCAGAGGAGTTATAACTACTAAATGCAATAAGGCACCCAGGGTGGGATCTGGAACAGAAAGAGGACATTAGGTAAAAACTAAAGAAATTAAATAAAGTATGGACTTCAGTTAATAATAATGTATCAATATTGGTTCATTAATTGTGATATATGTACCACACAAATATTAAATGTTAATTAGAGGGGATTCTGTATGTGGGTTATGTTGGAACACTCTATACTATCTTCATAATTTTTCTGTAAATCTAAAACTGTTGTAAAATGAAAAGGTTGTTTTTTTTTTTTAAGATTTTATTTATTTATTTGACAGAGAGAGACACAGACAGAGTGGGAACACCAGCATAGGGAGTGGGAGAGGGAGAAGCAGGCTTCCTGCCGAGCAGAGAGCCCGATGCGGGGCTCGATCCCAGGACCCTGGGATCATGACCTGAGCTGAAGGCAGACACTTAATGACTGAGCCACCCAGGCGCCCTGAAAAGGTTGTTTTTGAAAACACTCCCTTATATCGTTAAAACTAACTTTCTTATATTTAGCTAACATCTGCCTGCCAAGAGTCTTTACCACCTTGAGTGATGTTTGATGATCCTCTGCCTGTAATCCCTCCTACCCTAGATCTTCATGTGGCTGCCTTTATTGTCATTCAGGACTCAACTCAAACATCACCACCTCAGTGAGGGTGCT